CAGCCAACCAAGAGTCAGGAGTTAGCAGACCAGAAATGTTGAAAGAAAGGTCAGTGAATCATTTATTTATCATGGGGTGAAAGGCAATCGAAAAAAACCCTATACCCATATCTCTTTATCTTGAGAGTCAGGCTATAGAGTAGACCTTCCGGAATTGGGGTGGTTCTTAAATTTGCTAGAAATCATTTAGGAAATGAGGAGCTGTCCTGGATAACTAGAGGAGGCCTGGGTACCATTACAGGCACTAAACAGAGGGTCAACTTCTAGAAAGGCCCAATGAAGCATGGAGTCGCTGTGAGAGCACCGCACAAAGAATACACAGATGCTGACCATCCTCAGCTGAAGCTCACCTGGCTGGACTCTCCCTTCTCATTCTAGGAGATGCAACGGCCCATCCTCTAAAGAAAAAAGTGTGAGCTCCGCGTTTGAGGTCGGGGGAGGGGAAAGGGAGGCAGGAGGAATGATGAAGGTCTGAAAATCAGAGCTGATCAGAGCCAGCACTAAGAAAAGCACAGGTGTACACAAAAGGGGTACCTTCAGGTAAGTTCCACACTGCATTTGCTGTAAAGGTGATTTAAAGGCTTTGTAAAGGGGAGTAGGAACTGAGTTCAGAGACTAGAACGAGAGAGGGAGTTCTAATAGAAACCATAATCACGGAGCATGCAAGCTCTTGGTTGTGTGACAAGAGTTGTTTGCTGAATTTGAAAAGAAGCTGACCGTTATTGCACAGAGGGCTAGAAAAAAGCATTAAATCCCCAGTGCAGTCATGGAATTTGCATAGTGAATGTTTGAGAAGCCTTTTCTTCTCTACGCAGAGAAGCACCAAACACACAATTTCTTGGTACGTGATGAGAGTATGTAGAGTACGTGGGTATTCTTCTGCATATGGAGTAAGAGTTAAGTGCACAGATTCTTGAATGAGTCAGAACTGATGACAAATTCTGCCTCTGCAGTTTGCTAGCTGTTTAACCTGGGGTAATTTACTTAACCTCTGTAATCTTCAATTTCCCTGTCCCTTAAAGGGGAGATGATAGTACCTACTTCTTAGGGTGTCGTATGAATTAGTGAGATCGAGAATATGAAGCACTTAGCATGGTGCTTAGCCTGTAGGAAATACCCTTATTACAGTAGAGTAGAATAGTGCACAATGTGTGTTGTAATTATTACAGCCCGCGGTTGGTTAGCTTGCCTGTGACGACCAGCAGTCAAGATTGTAACTCTGACCTCAGTGTTGGCTTTGCCTTTGTCTGTGGCCCCAGGCCGGCTTCATCTGCCTTTGGTCACATAGGAGCCAAATATTTATGAATGTGAAGGGAACGGGGCAAATCCATCCCCACTCCAGGAAAAATCAACCCAGAGCGTGCAGGTCTGTAATGGCCTCTACATCTGTGGGGGGTAGTGCCTCCCTGTTACGCGCGGTTACTTAGACCAGGTGGGAGAGTGTGACAGAGGGCTCCTTCTTGGAGTTCGACAGACTGACATGTCCCGCGTAGGATCTCCAGGGCCATGTGTTGGATGCATAATTGGCTGTTTTGTTTTAATTTCTTTGTATCAATCTCTGGTCCAAGGCTAATTTGTTTCAACTCCGGGGCAATTGATGACATGACACGGAGTACACTCTTACCCCGGAAATCTTTTGCGTCTCAATGGTTATAAATACCCCCGCGCTATTGTATTTGGCGCGCTGTATGCAAATGGAGGTGGGAGTCCGAAAGCTCATTAGGCAAGGGACAGAGGCTTGGAGCACGGAGAGGCCCGCGTGGAGCCCAAGCTGATAACAGTGGCCTTGTCCAGAATAGTGCCTGGGAGCTTTCTTATCTCCCTTTGGCAGGAGGTGCCGTGGGCTTCCTGTGCGAAATCAGGAGTGAGCGCTGCTTTCCTCTTGTTGTTCGGCTTCCTCCCCCCTCAAGACGGTTCCCAGCACAGTGATTATCTCTGCATCTTCAAACATGGCACAATCTACTTCCTTAAGAGCTTGATGTATTCTTAAGGCTCAGGCAAACTCCCCTCCCCCTCCCCCTCCATCTCTTTTCAAGTGCTGTTATATAGTCAGGCTCCTAAATGACGCTCTATTTTTATGGTTCCAATTACAAAGAGGGAAAAAGAAAAAATGAAGGAAAAAAAAGCAGTCCCCAAATTAGAAAATAGCCACGGAATCCGTCCTCTGCACTCGGAGGACCTTGATGCGAGTCCAGCCCCTAGTTTCCATAGTAGGGCTTTTGCCTCGTGACCGCCCGCAGAGGTGGGGGTGGGGGGCCGAGGGTGAGAGCCCCGCGTGAACTCGGGCAGGAGACTGCATTTCCCAAGGGAAGTGCCGAGCCTTGCTGCGCTTTGCCAGATTTCTTTGCCTTTTCCTGAAGACCAAGAGGATGCAACTCAGGTCTCTGTCTGAGGCGACCCTGGATCTTTGTCACGTCTTTGGGGGAGAAACAGAATGAAAGGAGAAGCTTCTCTTCCAGGTATAAGAGAACATCAGCTCTCTGATGTCACAGTGCCAAGTACACACGCACGTGGCTAATACAGGTGTGCACGCGTGTGATAAACCCCATCTACATGTGGGGTAGGTGTCCCTTGTATGTACCCGAATGCGTGCTGAGTGCGTGTGAAAGATGTGAGGGCACGTGGCCATCAAGGCATGGATGTTACAGTCTAGGGAACAGAGAATACTGATCGTGAAAAAGAGCAAACTGACGTGTGATTTCAAAACTATAGCATTAACATGTCTCAAGTTACAGGAGAAAGTATACAATTTCTCTTGGGTTCGTTCGTGTCAGTAACAGTTCAGATGTTCACTTACTTTACCTGATGATTATAAAGACTGTCTGGCAGAAACTGCACACATTCCGTAAGGAACGGCCAGTCCTTATTATTCTTTTTTTTAAACTTAAATCTTATAATCTAACATGTATAAAAGAGACCTTTCTAAAGCATCAGGGAATATCTGATATATGGAGTTGGTACAATTAGGCGTAATAACGGCATTGGTGTTCTCCTACAAAGTGTGCATTCTTTTAGGGATATGCACTGACATACGTAGGGCTGAAATGGCACCGCGTCTGAGATTTGCTTTAAAATATTTCACGGGAGACGGAGCCCCTGGGGGGCTCAGTCAGTTGAGCATCCAGCTTCAGCTCAGGTCATGACCTCACGGTTCGTGAGTTCGAGCCCCACATCAGGCTCTGTGCTGACAGCTCAGAGTCTAGAACCTGCTTCAGGTTCTGTGTCTTCCTCTCTCTCTGCCCCTTCCCTACTCGTCCTTTCTCTCTCTCTCTCCCTCTCTCAAAAATAAGTAATAAACATTAAAAAATTTTAAATGAAATAAAATGCTTCACAGAAGAAAACGGAAAGAAATAAGGATAGACCCAACAGCTATGGCAAAATCTTGATAACTTAAGTCTGGGTGGTGAGTATGTGGGGAGTTAGTACATTAGGTCTCTACTTACCAGTATGTTTGAAAATAGTGACCAATAAAATGGAAGCTCTTCCTGGAAACAGCGTATCTTTCCCTCGCGCAGGTGTGTATGTTTACAGGTGTCAACACGGAGTGACAGTTACATGCTAGGCCCTTGCTCTTCAGTGAGGGCGAGTGAATAAACAGATATGGCCCCATCTGCTGGAGTGGCCGGCCCAGGGGGACCACTTAGAAAGTGCTCGATGCTCTGGGGGAGACCACCCAGGAAGACTCGATGGTTTAACAGTCCGGAGTCCCTTCTCAGCTCAAAGACCAGAGAGGGACAATCACAGAACTTTTTGCTGGTCATCTCCATCCCATCTGTCTGTCCTTCTCCCTCCCTGACTTCATTGTCTCACAGTCCTCTCCTGTCAATCACTGCTGCCATTGGCCACCTAGGATCAACCTCTCATTATTTCTGGAACTGGCCTGAGGAAGTTCCTCCTGGTTTGAAAATCTCCATAATCCGCCCACGACATGTATAAATGAGAGCCCAGCAGGCTTTCTGCTCACCACAGATTCGAGGTGGGGAGTGGACTGTGGACAGTCGTGACCGTCAGACAAGGAAGCCTGGACTTTCTTCAGCACAATCTTTGGAGCTTTGGGAGCAGAAAAGTTTCCACTAAAGGCGAGAACATTCAGGGGTTGGTCTGAGGTGAGGAAAGCCAGCCCTCAGTGAGGCCGGTGAAGATACCCCTGACCAGGGCACAGCAGATGGAAGCGTCTTTTCCACTGTTGGGATATTTTTTTTTTTTTAACTCAGGTAGAACCTGGGATGTGTAGAACATGATAAATGGCAAATAAATATTTGCACCAAAATTTGAGTGGTAAACCATAGGAAAACCACAGTTTGCTGATAATAACGTGTGTTTGAGAGAAGATACTAACTTCTCTCTTTAAAAGGGTACTCTGCTAGCTGGGTTAATAAGAGATTTCATGGACTTTTAGAAACAGAAAAGATCGTTTTATAACTAAATACTCGAGGTCTAAGCAGTTAAAGAGCTTCTCATGATACCCCAAAACTTGAAAAGAAAGAGACTGAATTTAATAGCTGCTTCATGCTGTGTATTTCCATATACACTTAATTAGCCCTGGAAAAAATTAGCTGTATAATGGAATATTCTGATTAAAAGCCAACCTTTTATAGATGTGAAATGCTGTTATTTCCTCGAGGTTTCCATTCATTAACGTAACTTCTTTTTTTCCCCCCAGTGTTTGCATGTTTCCTCTACTAGGAACTAATTAAAATCTAGATATTAAATTTCCTAACTTTTGCATTTTTACTTAGTATTTACCATTTAGAACAGGGAGGATGTACAAAGATACACGGATGTGGTTTTCTTTCATATGAAGCAAGATGTGTTTTCTATTTTTAAGTTCTGAGGATGAATATGGGGGAAAAAATCTAAGGGAAAGAAAAAAATGTATTTTGTTATCTTGTTATCTCAGGACTTAACCAGGGATTACTTTTATTTCACCTGTCACCCTGGGCTGGACCATGGGTAGCGACATAGTGATGACTTACTTTTTTTTTTTTTTTTTTTAATAGGTATGACTTTTGTTCCAATAATGAAGAGCCCCTGATTCTGCACCCTGACAGCAACGTAGGAAACAGGATTGAGAGCATCACTCAGCGCACGGCAATGATAGAAGGAAAGAATAAGGTATTGTGTGCAAAAATGTGCATTTGAGATATTTATTTTAAAAACACACATTAGTTGGGGCGCCTGGGTGGCTTAGTCGGTTAAGCGTCCAACTTTCGCTTAGGTCATGATCTCGCGGTTCGTGGGTTCGAGCCCTGCGTCGGGCTCTGTGCTGACTGCCAGCTCAGAGCCTGGAGCCTCTTTCAGTCTGTGACTCCCTCTCTCTCTGACCCTCCCCTGCTCACGCTGTCTCTCTCTCTCCTAGAAATAAATAAAGCATTTAAAAAAAAAACCAAACACACACATTAGCTCCTGGTTCTGGGTTGACTATAGCTAGAAGTCATTCAGATACTCAGAGAAAAATTCAGAGAGAAGAAAGGCAAGATCTGAGACAGGTGTTCACGGAGAGATACTCTGAGACTTCTTGAATCCTGTTCTCCGACGGCCCACCAGTTCGAAAGGAATGAGTACCGGGTCCCAATGGAGCTGCCTCTCAAATATCAATGGCTGTCAGCCTGGGCTGAGTATTAGAATACTCTGCTAATCATTATTACATATGAATCTCCGGAGTAGAGCCTGGAGTTCATAAAAATTCCCTGGGAGATTCTAGCATGTACCCAGGACTGAGAATCTCTGATACCCAGTAAGTAGGGTGTCTATAAGCAAAAGCTAGTATAAGACTTAAGGCTAAAATGGAATGTTTCCTTTTCACAAAATATGTCATTTGCCTCTCTGCCTTTGCAAGTCAGGTATCCTAAGTCAGGGTATGCAAACACATGCAGTATATTAGGATTCCCTGACCTAAGAAATACCAATTAAAACCACAGTGAGCTATCGCCTGACGCCTGTCAGAATAGCCGTTATCAAAAAGACAAGAAATAATAAGTATTGGTGAGGACGGGGAGAGAAGGGAGCCTTTGTGCACTGACAGGGAATTGTAAATTTATACCGCTACTATGGAAAACGTGGAGGTTTTTGGTGGTACCCCCAAAAAAGTACATATAGAACTACCACATCATCCAGCAGTTTCACCTCTGGGTATATATTCAAAGAAAACAAAACCACTAACTCAAAGGTATGTGCACCCTCGTGTTCATAGCAGCATTATTTATAGTAGCCAAGATATGGAAGCAACTTAAGTGTCCATCAATGAAAGAATGAAGGATATGTGGTATGTATATACATGTGGAATACTACTGAGCCACAAGAAAGGATGAAATCTTCCCATTTGTGACATTGATGGACTTGGAGGGCATTAGGCAAGGTGAAAGAAGTCAGGCAGAAAAAGACAAATACTGTCTGATCTCACTTGCATGTGGAATCTGAAAACACCAAGCTCATAGGTACAGAGAACGGATTGGTGGTGGGGTGAGGGGTATGAAAAATAGGTGAAGGTGATCAGAGGTACAAAGTTCAGTTATAAAATAACTAAGTCCTGAGGATGTAGTGTACAACATGGTGACTATGGTTAATAATACCGTATTGCATATTTGAAAGTTGCTAAGAGAAGAGATGTTAGTAGTGCTCATCACAAGAAAAAAAAATTTTGCTTAATTCTGTATGAATGCAGATGTGAATGCAGAGTATTGTGTAAATACACAATAAATCACTATTTTAAATACACAGCCATGAAACCATCACCATAGTCAATGCCATAAATTCATCTCTTGCCTCCAAGAGTTTCTTCCCATTGCATATGAATGGATGCATGAATGAATGAATGAATGAATGAATGATAACACCTAGCAGATGTTTCCATATACATCACAGCATGGTTAACTGGAACTACCCTGCTGTACGGTGGCTTTCTAGGACTGATCTAGCATAACTGAAACTTTGTACCCATTGACCAATTTTGGAAATTCAACTCCCCCTCTACAAAAGGATGTCAAGAACTCTAAAGGCTCAGAGATTTTATGGTACTTTCAGCCTAACACAGTTTTATGTTTGGTGGTTGAAGACCTGCCATTCGTGGGTCAGATACAATGGACTTTATTATTCGTAGCACATCTCCTGAGCTTCATGTTGGGCCTGGTCCCCTTGCCCCCAGGTGTCCGTCCAGGTAGAAATGTGCATGCAGTGGATTTGCATAACAGCTGAGGGACCTTGAACTTAGGGAATGCACATTGGGTTGCCTTTGCCGCCCCTTTTGCAAAAACACCATTGGTTCGCGGCTCCCCTGACCGCCACTGAGCCCCAGCATTAGCTGACACCTCCTGAACTGGGCACATCTCAGTAGACGTCAGACCTGGTGACTTCCTTCTGTTGACGCTGGGGAAAAATACACTTAAAAATCTCCTCGTAGCAGGCACAGTGGTAGTGATGCCTTAAAAAGGGAAAAACCTATCTACCCATTACCAAAATGTCTATTTATAGGCGCATATCTTGATTTGGAGTAATTCGTTAGTATGGATGCTGTCTGCTGGAGTGTGATTATGCTCATGTTATCTGTGTTTTCAGCTGTGTTTTTTGCAGTTGAAGGCAACAAAGTAGATGGCTTCCTTCCACACACGTAGGACTGAACAGTAGCGACAAATAACATCTGAATTCCTCATTCTGTAAAACCTTTTGACATATGCTCATGTCAGTTTCAGACTCTGATTGGCCAGAATGGTTACCTCGTTTTTAAAGATAAGAGGGGCGCCTGGCTGGCTCAGTCGGTTAAGCCTCCGACTTCAGCTCAGGTCATGATCTCACAGTTTGTGGGTTCGAACCCCACGATCAGCTCTGTGCTGACAGCTCAGAGCCTGGACCCTGTTTCAGATTCTGTGTCTCCCTCTCTCTCTGCTCCTCCCCAACTCACGCTGTCTGTCTCTCCCAAAAATAAACATTAAAAAATTTTTTAAATAAAAATAAAGAGAAGAAAAACGCAGGTGATGAAATGAACTCAAAGCCACAGGTTAATTGTGGTAAATGAGAAACTCAAAGCAAAGCCTTCCTATTCCAAGAGCCATGGCTCTACCAACCAGCTGCTGAAATTTAAAGTGGTGACAGCTTGCAAGAAAATGTGAACAACCACTTGGCAAGGGTTTAAGATGTGTTTCTATGATGACAGCAGTGGTTAAAATTCTTGTTCTCTATAAAATGAACAGTAGCTTAAAACATCCCATGATGGACAGCTCTTAACAAGAGCAGTTCAACGAAATGCTTAGAAAAGAGGAAATTCTGTAAAATTGAAAGCTGGGCTGGCACTCCGTTTTTTAAAAAAGGACACACCGTGGAGGAGAAAGCAAGGTAGCTGTCACAAAATACTAGAAAACTGAGACGCCATCGATTGTGTCAACTCGTTTTGCCTTCTCCTGACCACGTCTGGTAGATGTACTGTTGACTGCTGGATATTAACACAAGAATGTACGAGCCCACCTTCAGCGGCAACGTCTAGCCCTGTTTTGGCATCCTAGCCACAAAAATACACAATAGGAAAAAAAAGTGAAAAAGGAAACCGCTGAGGTGAGGTTTCAGATTAGCCTGAACCATGAACCAGTAGCAACCTGACCCCATACAGGGTAGCCCGGAAAGCAAAGAGCGAGATCAGTCCCAGAACCAGAGTGAGATGGGAACTTCCCCGATTTTTGCCAAGTGGCTTGAAACAAGTTTATTGTCTTGTAATTTTGTACTTCTGCAGAGGTTTTAAATCTAGACCTCCAGACGCAGTGGGCGCTGTGTCCACAAAACTGCTTTTCTTTTCTGTCCATGTTTAGAAAGCCTATTAAAGTCCCAGCTTACACTATAATGACCCTTTTACCTACAGTCACAGAGCGAGCCTGCCCAGTGACACCCCCCCACCCAGATCAGGGGAATGGAGGGCGCGCTGGAGCACCCGTAGGATTCCAGGCACTTCCTTTTTTCTCCCCCCCCCCCTTTTTTTTTTGTTTAACTCATAGAAGGTTGCCGAGGACAATCAAATTTAGTTTCCTTATTGGCAAGTTTTGGCCTAGATCTGTGAAAAATGAGTCATCAATTGGAGTTGCTGATAGCAAATGTGGAGTTTTTGTATTGTTTAATGGGGCTGTCATGCTGTTAGGTTTGTAGCTATGGAGTAGGAAGTAGAAGGGGCCCCGTGTCAGAAAAAAAAGTCAGGAAATACATACTACAAGGCTAATTCTTTGAGGCTGGAGAATTGCGACAGTTTTAACGTTTTAGTGACGTTTCCACTGAAATCGTTCGGAGGTTACCTTGAGAAATTTATCATATGGGACCCATCTGTGACAGAGGCATTAAACCTAATCACAGAATTACAGTTTTTGTCTCATTTCCCACATTCCTCGAGTTTTTTTTTTTCTTGAATTCTCGCGTTCTATTTTCCCATCACTCGGCTTGAATGTGCCACCCAAGGTTAATTTTAGATTCTTCCATGACCTTTATATATCTACTTTTATGTCCCTTTGACACACTTAAAAGGAAACGATATTAGAAACATCCCGAGATTAAAATCACGGTTCCATATTTAGATCTTTTAAAATGAGTTCTGGAAATTAGGCTGAGTTACACATCATCCCATCCATTCTCTTCCATGAGGTTCAAACCACATTGTAGCAGGGAGTTACTAATCCTTGGGAAGAGGGAAGGAAGGAAGGAAGGGGTATGAATAACTTCCCACCTTACAGTGCCTGACAACACATCTCATCAGCATTCTTGGGTCCTTCAAAAGAACCCAGAGAATGACTTTAAAAAGGTCTTTTGGTACTATCTAAATCCTTGAGGTCCTGGCAGGGCAAGTAAAGGCACCCTCAAAGTGTAGATTCAAAGCTAAATATATATATATATATATATATATATATATATATATATATATGGCAAAGGAAAACTAATTCTGGAACAAAGGCAAGCAGACATCTTTGAGAATTTCTTTTGGTGCACCTTAGAAATGATTATAATTTCAAACACATGTAACAACTCAAATTCTTGGCACCTTCTCTTTCAAAGTATTAGGTTAATATTTGGTGTTCCAGCTGTTAGGCCATTTTCATTTTTCTCCCCTTTGAAACAATAATAGTATTTGGTTACGAGCACTGGGGAAAGGATTTGTCCCTTTCACTCAGAAGACTCTGCATTTAGACTTAATGTCCCAGGAGAAGTGGACTTCTGCCTGGAAAAACCCCACCCCCACCCACAATTTACACTTGAGCTTTTTCTGACCCTATAAAGTTTATACTTCGGTTACCAAATGTCTTTGTTTTTCATGAAAATATGTTTTTGTAATTGAAAAATATATTCTCTGGAAAAAGAAGTGCTCTAGACATCAGATGATTGTTAATAAAGTTGATGGTAGGATAGTGATTTCATCTTATTTTTAAATTTCCTTCTTTATTACTTTTTCATGCATCCTTCCTATTTTCAAACCTTATAATAATGTATCAGTTGAAAACCAGCTTGCAGCTTATGTGAAATGTTAAGAAAGAAACTAGTATTTTTGTACCTAGGAAGATTTCAGTTTATGTGATGCATCTCTGCCAATTTAAGGATGTATTCCTAAAGAAAAATTCAATCCCAAGAGCAGACAGAACTCTACCAATAGATCTCTGCTGTTCAGTTTACAGTTTTAAGGCAAGAAGCAGCTTCATGTAGTGATCAAGGGTAATGTACCCACTTCACAGGGCTTTAGGGAAAAGTAAATGAGATAATGCCCCACACGCTGGCACGCAGCAAGAGAGCTACAGAGATGTACCCAGAAACAAAGAAATCATGTAAACCCCCATCAATGTCATTTTCTCATTGAATTTTAATAGAAACTTGGGAGAGGTGAGTTCTGGAGCAGACTTACCTCTGGGTAAGGTGTTGGTCTGGGGAGGGGTCATTGAAGCAAAATAAAGAGAGACTCAGACATTGTATCTCCGTGGCTCATCATGTGACCTGGATTCCTTTCATTTCCAGGTATCTCGATTTTACTCTCTGATTATACAAAGCTTCCCAATTATCCATCTGTTCATTGGAATTATCCCCAGATTGCCTGCCCAAGTCTTAACTTTGGCAGATGTGCACATCAGAATTGACTAGTATCCTTGTTCGTTTGCTTTGAGTTCAAAGTAATTTTAAAAGAAACGCAGATAGAACTTTCAGATTCAGGTAATCACTGTCCATAATATCAACATTCTTGGCACAAACAGAAATGAGTTTCTCACTCATTTATTGAGCAATGAATCGAAGAATGTAGATAGGATTGTGCCGAGGCCCAGGAGGATAAACACTTGAGAGCTAACATCATAAGAAAAGCAGTGCTTCAGCTGGGGGGAAGGGGGAAGGGGGAGGGACCTTCACTGGTGTCCCTTGGGTCTGAACTTGCTGCATACCGCTTTCAAGCATCTGAGCCCAAGTTTCCAGAGACCAAATAAAGAAGTCAGAGACTTATTTGATGGTCTCAATTGTCCTAGTGGCCACGAGCTAATACTTCCTTTCACATTGCTGCCCACAGGCCTCTCTTCTAACCACTTCCATTTTCTTCCATGGCTTTTAAGTGGTGGGTGCAATAATTAAAAAGAAACATTCTGGAGAGCCATTTCCTTTTATTTGCCACCTCTTATATCGATTAATAATTAACATAGAGAAAAAGACACCTGGGCTCCTTCATGGTCTTCTCTACCGGTTATTTGCCTGCCCACGAGTGTTTTCTCTGCAGAAGAGAGAATAATATATATTTGACCATCAAGTAGGGAAATTCTTCTCTATCACCTTAAAGTAGTCCTTCAAGGACTAGTCAAGATTAAGAATAGGGATTGTGTCACATTCATCTCTGTTTCCCCTACAACATCAGCTCAGTGCCTTGATAAACACTCAATAAATGTCTGCAAAGTTGAATGAAAATCGCCACATATTGCAGACGGGTTTCATTTCCAGTAATTTCAACAACACACAGGATATAGGAGTAGATGTAAATAAATAGGCCCAACAAACAGAAGAGGAAACAACATGTACACTATTCCACAGTGAAAATGACAGAAAATTTGGAACACTAAGCTTGCTGGCTAAAAAAAAAAAAACAACCTAGGAGTATATTTTTGTCTTCTTGATCCATAGATTAAAGACTGAAATATGTTAACTTACTGGCTGGGATATGAGAACATAAGTAAAGTGCTTAGCCCATTACTTAGCAACTCAGATAAATGTTAGGACCCTTTGAGGAATCTGTGCTCATCATCTTAGAACGCCTAGGGTCACATTTCAGTCTCTGTGTTACTTTAGCCTGTAAGTCACTTGGTCTTATACGTCAGCTAGGACATCCCATTCATCTGGAGGCATCAGCAAAGAGCCTCTGTAGTTTCAAAGCCTGGGACTGGTTATTTGTGTTCTAGGAGACGAGCTGCAACAATTTAGAAATATCTGGATAAAGTTTCTTTTGTCATTGTAAATATGAAAAACTAGCTTTTTCATTTTTTTTTTTTGTATATATAGTATGCATGCCTTTTTTGCAGGGCTGGGTTAAATTTTGAAACCAACCATCTGTTCCATATTACTAATTTTTACCTCTATTTTTTTAAAAATCTCTATCTTTAAAAGACTGCAAAGTGAGTCTGTAAGCTGTGTAAATTTGTGTTGCATTTCCTCTTTGAGACAGTAAAGCTTAGATCGTGTCTTCAAGCTCCCGCATGTCTTTCAGGGTTCATTTGTCAAATAGCAGCACTGAAATCTAGCGAAGCAGTGTTGTTGTATTCACAACACTTGTCTTCATTTTCTAGATTGGGAATTGGCAGGCTGAGAAGTTAAGTAATTTGCAAACACTCAGGACAACTTCCGTGAGCTCTCCAGCCTCTCCCTCAGCACCTTCAGGGCTGGGAGGCTACATTCTTCGAGTACCCACAAGGAATGGTTTAGCCGGCTTTTTCCCACCATCCTTGTTCACTGAACATGCCCATTGCAGAAGCAAACAGCCAAGAAACCCCCTGTTACCAATTGGCATCCATAATCTCAGGTCATCCAAACAAAAGGGAAGGCATCAGCCTCACCTGTTCCTCTCATTGACGTGAAACTGACCACCTCACAGAGTAGGACGTGCAGTCTCGCATCTCGGCCTTAGGTCTGTAATTGTTACGCCAGCAGCACGAGATAAATAAGCCTGAAGCCCTTATACGAGTCGGATGTCATAGCCCCCGGTCTCCTGAGGACCTGCTTTCCTGTTATTTTTCCATTCTTGCTGGGACTCGGGAGAGCAAGAGCCTTCTGGTAAACCTCCGTGCGTGCAACAGTACCCTCGCTGAATGAATGGAAGAGCTGAATCATTTCAACCCTTAGAAGAGTCTTAGGGATGTTCAAATAGTTCTTTGCTCTCACTAAAGTTTTCCTTTCTTTTACAGACGGCTAGCACCTTGGTTGTGGCGGACTCTAGGATTTCTGGAATCTACAGTTGTGTGGCTTCTAATAAAGTAGGGACTGTGGAAAGAAGCATAAGCTTTTATATCACAGGTAAGCCCCATATCCTCTACTCACAAAGATAGCCTGGTGACCTCGGTGTCCTTTCAAAGCGGTTCTTAGTGCACTTGTAGCTTGAGGGATTTTTGTTTTTAAAAAGTCCATAATATTGTTAAACTTTGAGTATCTTCATCCTTGCTCTCAGGAATAGGATTTGACATCTTTGGATCTCCTAACAGCTCATTCCTCCGAGTTCCGTTTTAGAGCTGGGTGTGCACATCTCCCTCCCAGATTGGGTCGTGAATTTAGGATCTTGTCATATTCATTTTTGAACTCTTTCCCATACCTGGCAGAGTCTGGTACATAGCAGTTGTTTAGTAATAATCGAGGAAACCAAACCTTTGATGACATCTTTTTTTAATCTTTTAATCAAAAAGTGAATTGTCTCCCAACTTCAGTAATTTCTGCTTTTGAGGACTGAGGCTCTCCTGTAGAAATCTGAACTGAGTTTGTTGACAGTAATTAATGTGCTAGGGTTTTTGGTAGCATTTACAAATTTTTAGCCTTCAATATGATGGCCTCTGCAAATCTTAAAAGGTCCAAGGGACACAAATGGCACTCCCTATGTCCCTTCATGGGTACAGGAAGGAAGTAAGTAGCTCAAAGTATAAAAACAATTGCCTGGCTCCACACTCCCCCAATTTTCTGAGGAAACCCGGGCAGTTTGCCAGCTTTCTGGAAACTTCGCGCTGCATGGGGCAGGCTGCAGCAGCTGCCTAGAGTTCTCTAGAAAGAAATGGGTAGGTCTGATTGCATGAGACATATGGGATGTCAGATCACAGGGAGGCTTCCGGCAAGTTAGCCAATCCTCAGAGAAGCTGTGCCGTGGGAGATCTCCTGAGGTAGATTCTCACAGAATGTGAGAACTGGAAGAGACTTTAGAGGCTCTTCAGCCTTATAGCCCCCACACTTTCCAGGTGAAGAAATGGGGTTCAGAGAGGTGAAGAGGAACACAGCAGAGCCACTCTTAGACCAGGTCAGCCCCTGTCCTCTTACAGCTGAGTTTATGGAAGGGAAATCATCTTTGCACCCACTCCAAGTTGGAAAAATTCTTTATCAAGAAGGATTCAGGTAGCCATTTCACACACACTGGTTCTCTTATCAGTGTTGGATGATTTGGACTCATTAGAAACAAAGGTTTGTACTGTCCTTTATATTTGATTGGGAACAAAGTCCTATGCAAATCCATAGTCACTGTACGTATGATTTAAAGTATAAAAGACTGAGCAATTCCTGTGCTGAACATTCAAGAAGTTGATACAAGTTTAACGAGCACTAACTATTAAATAGAACCGTTCAACTCTGTACTGAGCACTTCAACAGATATCAGTGAAGCCCTGTCATCATAGGAAGACCATTTTAACCCACAGAAAAAGAAGAAATGTCGTATCCTGAGAGCAAGAGGCATGTATAGCAGCAAGGTGGCAGATGCATTTACCAACGCGAAGCCAGTGCTGTCCGGTAGAAATATAAGCCACACACGTAATTTAAAATCTTCTAGTCAAACCGCATTTTGAAAACACAAAAAGTAAAATTAATTTTATGTAAGCCAGCGTATCCACAATACCATCATTTTGACATGCAGTCAGTATCTTTAAAACATTATTGTGCTTCAGTCTTTAAAATTTAAATGAATTGAAATGAAATGGAATAAAATTCAGTTCTTCACTCATGCTCGCCCCATTTGAAGTGCTCAGTAGCCACAGGTGGCCAGTGGGGACCGTGTGGTCCAGTGGCGCTCTGAGCATCTGAGAAGGAAGGGCTGAGGGGGTCCTGGGGGAGGAGAGCCTAGAATCTGAACGGGTAGAAGAGGGCAGACTTGCCCTGACATTTTTGGAGCCAAGTCAGGAGTACCAATGGAGGTCCACAAACTACACATCTAACCATTATCACGTTCTAAGTCAAGCAAACAAGCTCCGCATGGACAAAGAGTCCTCCATGATGGCCTGAAAGGTGAGATGCAGATACAGCATTCAGGAACTACTCACAGGTCCACCTACAATGTAACAATGCCTGGGGGTACAGAAGGAATTGACCCCCGTCTTCTCTTTCTACTCCTGGCTCTGTCCTGCTGTACCCACATGTATCATCATCTAAGGACTGTCCACACCCCTCACAGTCTTCCCTGGAACCTAGAAGTATGCACACTTCTGAGCAGTCTGACCTCAGGGGGACTTTGACAGTCTGGAAGTAGACTTGGGGTCATCTTTACAGGGAATTCTGGGATCCCAAGGAGACACACCCCCAAAAGACATGGAAGTGGAGGTGGCACAGGCTTGGGGTGGCATGCTTGCCGGACCCCACAGACTCTTTGTACTGGGGACAGCTAGCACAGAGCTGAGTAAAGGCCCAGGACAGGGACCCCTCTTGCCTGGATCTGAAGGCAGCACTGGAAGAGGAGGTACCAAAAGTGGAGGGGAATGTTGTGCTCATTTCCTTATTGTTCAGAGTCCCCCAAAATGATTAATTGATGACCAGCCTCAACTGAAATGCCAATATCTAGCCCATCCCACTGAGCTTTGCACTGTCACTTGTCTGTCTGTGGTCAGCATGTCTACTGAATGCAGAGAGAGAGTCCCTCCTACCTCCGACCACATTATACAGTTTATAAGCATGGGTTGGCTGAAATCCTTTCTAGATCCCAAGGCTGGTCCACAGAAAGGAGCTATGAGAATTCAAGCCAGATATATATACTTGAGGCTTACAGTGTTTTCTTCTAGAAATTCAAGAGCTTTAATCTTACACTGAAACTGAATATAATTGCTCTGAATTATTTTCTACTAGTCCTGAAAAGTTCTGGTTTTGGTAATTATAATTTGCTTATATTTATTGTTTTTTTAAATTACAACGCTTAATCTTTGTCGTAAGATTGATTCTCACTAGAGATCGAGCTAAATACTCAGGAATGTTGCCCATTACACGTCAACTTTCTGAAAAATGTATATTTGCTTGGTGTTTATACTTGACCTAGTGCAGGCACTGCTTTAAAAGATCTAAAATGCAACTGTTCTAAATCAGAAGATCCGGGCTTGGATCCTTACTGACCTTCATTTCAGTCATGTTGCCCGTTCCTTAAAATATAATAACACCTTAGCCCAGTTGCCTTCCAAACTAATGAAAACAAGTTGGCCGTGGCCTTTAGAATTCTCCACCCCTTCTACTCTCCACTTCGCCATTCACTTGCACTTCGTATCTACTTGAAACAAACAAAACTTTCCAGTTAACCACTCACTTCTTAGGGAATGTTATTTCTGTTCTTCACTAGAAGGAAAGCCTTCTTTATTAGGACCTGATAAACTATACCTCTCAACTTGGTAATTTCTATGCTTGTCTGTTTCATGAACGTAATTCACATGTTTGATCCAACCAAGTCAAAACATCCACCCCCTAATATGCACCCGTGTAAATAGATTACTCTTGCACCTAACCCTAAGTCAGTTATCTCTTCTGAGCAAGGATTGATGCTTCTCCATGACGTCTCATGGGGTCCCATGGATGTGATATGTGTTAGTTGGTGCCAGTGAGGATTGTACTAAAATCTGCAGCAGATACTCAAGTGTGGGAAGGTCTCTTGCTTTCACTTTGTTAGAAGGCAATTCTTTCATGGGTCTGTTTTTGTACTCAGTCTAAAAAAAAAAAATCACATGAATTAAGAGGAAAAATCCCTCTGGATTCATTAACTGGTGTTAGGACATTTTATTTATCATCTTCTGTGGATCGAAGGAAAACGCCAGAGGAGGTAGCCTTAGAAGTAGACAGTCATTTCTAAGAGGCGGTCTGGTAACATGAACCGAAGTGACTTCACTAGCCGTGTCCGCCATATGAGAAGCAGACCTCAAACCCCAGTGGGTTCTTTTCTTTTCCTCTGTGTGTGTTTTTGCCGTTTGCTGGCACTCGGCGTGACTATGGGTGTGTTAGCAATTACTGAGGGCGAAACAGGAACGGCGCTGCCTTATCTCCCTGATTTCCCAGTGTCACTAAATGCATTTTATTTTGAGATTCCTGGTGGTGCTTGGCAAAGATAAACAAAATCTTCCATCAGGAAACCTGTGAGCTATTTCCACAGGAAGTTTCAAATCACTAAAGTAAATAGAAACTCTACATGATCTCAATGGTGTTACTTGGGCTCGCTTGGGTTCTAACCACCAGGACGGGACCTCATAAATGGAAAGCGCGGGGTCTTTGAAGAAATGACTTGACTACAGCCAGTGTGCAAAACGCTGCTGGTATGTGTGTAAAAGTTGACAGCTGATGTTTTACTCCTCGGGCTTGGAAAACGTCCCAAGCAGAAAAAGATGCTGAAGTAGAGAGGCTATTTCTGACACCTTATTGTTGTGTTGAAAATGACTGTCGGCTGCTCCTGCGTCTTCTGGCTTATTCTTAGCTTTTCATTTTAAAAGCAGGAAAACCTCTGCTGGTCTCCTCTCTAGCCACTGACAGCTTCATAAGCTGCTGTTACCCCCTGCCCCCAGGTTTCAAATGAATACTTTGGCATTCCTTCAGACGTGACACTTTATAATACAGTCAAAGCCCAGAAAAATCAGAAAAACAAGCAAAGTCAGATTTAGGAAAGAGTTGATATGATATCTAATTTTGGACTATTGTCCCCCTAAGGTTTAAAGGTTTCTTTATAGCTTTGTGTGCGACGGATAATAATAATAACAGCAGAACATAATGCTTTTCATCTTCAAAGTACTTTGTAAAATGTTGGCCCAAATTCTTTGCTCAAATACAGATACGCCAGTAAGTAACAAGCAATGGCAGGGTTTTGAGAGCAGGTCAGTTCGGGGCCAGTAACCGATGATTTTTTTTTTTTAATCCTCTGGGGAAATGCGCCCAAAGACTAGGGAGCTGTGGGCGCATAAGCTAAGTGAAGGTCCAGGTTAAGAAAGCAGAGGAGGGGGGCTGATGAGGTGTTGCTGGAGGTGAAGGTGAAGGTTCGCTGGGAATTGACAGGAGAAAAATGGCTTTTCGTGCCACAGTCACTCGCAGAAAATGTGTCCTATGTTTCTGAGCATTAACTTGATTTTTTAAGATTACTCTCCTCCTCCCCCATTGTAGCATCAAGAGCTCTTCCAGAGTAGTTGACCGCAGTTTGTTCTTTTATGGCTAAGTAGGACCAGCCCCCGAAAGGGGACGTGGCATGTGCCACGGCTCTTCTCTGCCCACCGTGCCAGCCAAGGGCAGGCAAGGTGATGGCACAGTACCAGGATGGATTCCATCCATCCAGTTGTATAAAACTGGGGAAACCAGTTGGTTTTTCACTGGAAAAGCCTAGGGTTAAAGTGGTGCTGATCGGCATGGCTGGACTCTTCCTGGGACTTCCTCACTTACTTTGGATAAGTTTATCCATGAAATGACCCTTGGTTTCTCTGGTGTTTGTTTGTTTTTAAAGAAACAGAGGCACAGAGAGAAACCATGAGAGAGAGGAATGATTTTAAATATATATTTTTTGAGAAAGACCGCGTGCAGGGGAGGGGCAGAGAAAGGGAGACAGAAGATTAGAAGCAGGCTCTGCGCAAATAGCGGGACTCGAATTCGTGAACTACGCGACCGTGACCTGAGCTCCAGACGGACACTTAACTGACTGAGCCACCCAGGGGCCCCCTACCTTGGTTTTTAGTACAAATCGCTCTTTTATGACTTCCCAGTTACACCCACTCACCAGTAGGAGTTCTGCGCAAATTAAAGAAATGGGAAACACGATTCTCATTCCAAGTTGTAAGACAGATTCCACTTTGAGAGGCAGCTTGGAGCAAGTAGCCCCAACAAGGAAAAGATACCACCCCAATCAGCCTGCTTTGCGTTTTCTGCCTCGCTTCTGATGGAAGGCAAACTTACGTCCTTCCTACCTGTGTTGGATCGGTTCCCCGATAGGAAGAGATACATACTCATCCTTTTAATGCTGACGCCGAGAGAATTCGTGTAAGGAACAGTTCGTAAGATCTCTGACTGCCTCTGGATGAGACACCTTGTTTTGGGGCTTTTGTTTTGTTTTTCCTGTGAACTGATCTTCTTTATCCTTATTTTATAGACGTGCCCAACGGATTTCACATTAACTTGGAAAAAATGCCCACGGAAGGAGAGGACCTGAAACTGTCATGCACAGTTAACAAGTTCCTATACAGAGACATTACTTGGATTTTGCTGCGGACAGTTAAAAACCGAACCATGCACCACAGCATCAGCAAGCAAAAAACGGCCGTCACCAAAGAGTACTCTATCACTCTCCATCTCACCATCAAGAATGTCTCCCTGGAGGATTCAGGCACCTACGCCTGCAGAGCCAGGAACATACACACAGGGGAAGAAATCCTTCAGAAGAAAGAAGTTACAATTAGAGGTGAGCACTGCAGCAAAAAGGCTGTTTTCTCTCGGATCTCCAAATTTAAAAGCACAAGGAATGATTGTACCACACAAAGTAATGTAAAACATTAAAGGACTCATTAAAAAAGTAACAGTTGTCTCCTATCATCTTGATTTGTTGTCACTGTTGCTAATGTTCCGACTCAGAGGAGATGCTCCTCCCAAAATGAGTTTGGAGATGATAGGAGTGATATTGAGCCCCCAAGGTCCCAGCTCTGGGCTCCCCACTCAGGCTGAGGGGCTCTGCTCGCTGGGGCCGACTTGGTGCGCGTTTGGATTTGGAGGATCCCTGCCGTGCATTCTGGGTTTTTTTGTTGTTGTTGCTCTTTGCTGTCTTCTCCTGCCTGATAAACAAGAACCTGGGACTGATCCTTTCCTCCCACTCTGATGCCAGCCTCTCTGTATTTTTAAGTGTCGAAGCTACCGCAGACTGAATAATTTAAACGCGTGTGCTGGCGTCTGCCAAAGATGGACGTGAATGAGTTAATCTTCCAGCTCAGAACGAGTGCAGTTGACTTTGAGACTCTTACCGGACCTCTGCCCTGGTTTTATTTTGTACTATTTCCTCTGCTCTTGATTTGTAAATAGCACCTGCATAGCAAGTTATAATGCTTATTTATTTGAAAACGCTTTTTTTTTTTTTTTTTTTTTTACATTAAGCACATTAATCTTAAACCGGCGTTCTAAAATGGGCCCCAGGAGCGCAAGATGGTGGTGTCATTCAGAGGTATTAAAGCTTTATCGCAGTATGAATTAAGAATGCCCATCCACGTCCAGCCCACTCGTAATCCAGGTAACCAGGACACCAATCAGCACAGGGCCTCGGTGTGGACTATGTAGCTACCAACGGCCTCTGGAAAAAAAAAAAAAAAAGTGGATCCTGCCTTCATTTACATGTATTTGTCCCCTGGTTATTCTTTTCAAGAACTCCCTTCTATTTAACTGATGGCATTCAGAGACAAACTACGATCTGTTTATCAAGAAATCGAGGCTATTGGGACCGAAAGTTGAATGCATTCTTCTAAAGGTGCCCATCAAAAAGAGTCGACTTTTCCCATATGCAGATGGTAATAGGATTTTTATGGGGAGTAAGAAACGGCAAAACCACAGGAGCAGAATCCCGAGCCGTTTAAAAATACACACCGTGTTAAAATCAGGAGAGATTACAATCTCTTTTTGGAAGCTTGCATTTGAGGGGAAAGTGACTTTTTCACCAACTTAATATGCATTGTTCTGTTGTTTTTTTCACTTATGATTGATCATTATATGTGACTTGCACGGACTATTGGAAAACAACCTCCAGGGACCGAAACAGCCGGGGCTGAGAACCCAGTGGCCAGGCAGCTCAGTTGAAGGTGACATGATGACAACTTCTCAGGCTTGGGAACTCACCAGACTGTTTCCTCCTTTAGGTAACAGACTCTGTCCCACGGCTAAACTTGTCTTTCACGTGGGAATTGCTTTTGTCAAATGCGAATGAGTAAACAATAGCATTTCCCCAGAATGCCATTTTCAAGGAGCCCCAAATGCTCCGAAAACAATTAGGAACCTGGAAGTGGTCAGCCCAGAGGAAAGAATAATCAATTGTATCTTGAAATTTTACCTATGGCTCTTTTCGCCTGGCGTCTTTGTTCATTATAAGTCAGCGTGTTCCTTCAGGAAACAGTGCCTCAATGCCACAGATCGCAGGGACTCGGTTTGGACTAAAGCTGAAAAAGCAAATAAAATGGCTAAGGAATCGCTTGTGAAAAAAGACGGTAAAGCAGACCTGAGGAATCGATCACTTCCTTCCCCTTGAAATCGCAGTTGCAGTTTTTTGCAGGGAGGGGAGGGGCGGGGCAGGGTGTTTGCGGGAGATGATCTTAAGAATTCCGTAGAGTAATTCATTGTTCACTGTGGAATTCGTCCTTCCAGAGAGTTTCGAAAAGAAAGACCAATTGGGTGGGTTGTGCTTTCGTATTAGTCACTCTTTTGGGTGTGGAGGAAGGGAGGATCACGGGGAAAAGAGAAAGAAAAGAAAGAGCCTAATCTGGAGAATGATTGAGTGGGAGCAGAGGACGTGAGGCTGGTTCCTCAGTCCCCGTTCCAAGTGGAGAAGAGAAAACGGTGCCTTTATGAAACCTGGCAGGTCTCTGGGACCGTAGCACCGAAAGCTAACAGAAGAGCTGGGTGGGGTCTGGCTCTTGCCAACCAGCAGAAATATTCTGTTAATTCCGATTTTCTCAGTGTGAAGGGGTCAGACCCACTTTATTAGGTTGTGGAAACCAGCTACCCATTTCCATCCAATCACTGCGGGTTTAGAATAAGGGTTCCGTGTACCCTTCTTACTTACCATGTCAGAACAGACTCTATTCTATATACTAAGTATGAAGGGCAAATGGATACAATGATTTCCCTGGCTGATTGCTCGTTTAAGAAACCAGTCAAAAATGAGACTTTTCGAGGGCATTTTTTTTCAGAAATGGGTACAAAGAAAAATATGTTGATATGAACTTTGTATTTAATGAGGAATCCTATGTTCATTCTGCAGCCTTTTGGCTGCCTCTCTCTTGTCTGAAGTTTGTCCAGTGCAGATAGGGCTTTTGGGAATTCTCATGTCACCGTTTCCCAGTACACCTGTCAGGGAAGCCAAGTCCTGTCCATATTGGTGTCTAGCTTGTAGCTCTGATAATAATTTGGGGGTTCGGAGGCCCTGTGTTCAGACTTCCCTTTTTATAATAACGCCTGTGGACAATGATAGATTATTTTATCCTACTTAGTGCATGGGAAATAGTAAATATGGTCGGGGGAGCTTTTAAAGGTGTAACTCCGTGAACTGTGTCTGAGTTCCAAATGAGATCTGTCACATTTGACTTGCCACTGTACTCGACGCTAAATAGTAATATGACACTGTTCTTCGTTATCTGGTCATGTTCCACTGATCTGTTTAGAGTCTTTACTGTGTTAAAAAAAAAAATATGTCAAAACTGTAACCATCAAGCATGTACGCGTTATCAGAGTGGAAGATGTTGATCCCTGGCTGCATTTTCTTGGGGGGAAAACCACATGACAGATGGCACAGAATGCCGACACAGAAATGTGGAAACGGTTCTGCCTAGGGGTGGGGGTGGGGTGCAGGATACAGCAGGAAAGATACACTGACAGAAGGGGAGAGGGCCCACGCGGTCATTCATTCCACTCTACGCTGGAAGGGTTTCTATGTCAGGGCTCTCCGCTCAACCCTCTCTTTCGCCTTCAGATTTCGTGGTGTAAAAAGTGAGGAGAGACCAGCGATAAGCTATGGAAATCAAAATTTAATGAGGACACCGTTCCTCCTAAGACATAGTAACCCTGCCACGTTAATACTGTGTCAACATGCTGATCACCTTCCATGCTAATCTGCTTTCTAGCCTGAGATTTCCCAGTGGCTTCAATGAATGCTAATCCTGAGAGTTTCCCCACAGGAATAAAAAAGAGAAAGGTTTGGGGACTCGGCAGAACCCTGCAGGGACGTGGAATCGAAGCCGCGGCAGTGGCTCACCTCTTAGAGCACTGTATTCCCTCCCACGCTGCTTTCACAGTGTTAGTACATTCAGATGAGGAAGTGCACAGTGGTCAGAGAAAGCTCACACTAATTGAAGCCAGTGGCGCAGAATGTGTAAGTGACGCCCAGACTCTTTTGGTTTCTGTTCCAGGATCTGTAACCAGGTTGGGAGGAGAGGAGGAGGGTTTGGGAGGGTTAGGAGTTGCCCTCACTCTTTCACCTTGGGAGCCTGAGCTACCCCTGCAGCACTCGCCTAACTAGAATGTATACATATCAGCAGGACTGACTGACTACTTCGTTAAATAGAGACACTGTACTCATTGGGGCCTTGGGGTACTGCTGTTCCAATGTAGGATTTTAATGTTGTAATGTATTGCATCCTAATGTATTAAATTCATGTTGTTGTACTATATTGGTTGGCATTTTATTAAAATAAATTGTATTGTATCATATTTGTATGTTTTAAGAGAAAATAATATAAAATACAATACTTGTACTATTATATAGTGCAAAACCCACAAACCTTTGCCTCTGCCTCTTGAATTAATCCTTTGGTTGCTTGCGCTGGGGAAGGGATGGAGGAAGGAAATCATCAATAAAGCTTTCAAAGTTCATGAAATTCTCCTGTTTGGTCTGCTGCCTTACAACTTAAGTCACAGATAGCTGAGCAACATGGGTGTGCCCTCACAAACACATCTATAAAAGTACCTACAAAATTTCAGTAGCTCACCACGATAATACTATGATTTCTGTAAAAATTCATTACGAGCCTATATCCAAAACCATGTTTTTCCTTTTTGAGTTCCTCAAACAGTCTGCACAATTCTCAGGTTTTTGTAAAGCTGCTCTCCCAAAAAGAAGAAGACTAGTTGGCCCGGCAAAACCCCTTGATACTGAGATCTAAAAATACAGGGTTCCATTCTTCATTTTACTCTGCGTTCTGACAAATGTCCATTGATTGTTAGCAATTCAATAAAGACGACACAGCAGGTTAACCACAGAAGAGGAACAAAATATGAATGAAACCTTACGGTTGAGTTTTGCTGTTTCCCTCTATATGTGAAGTATTGATGTGCATTTATCACAAAAGAATACAACTAACGAGTAATAACAGTTCCCTTTCTTTGTTCACTAGATCAAGAATCACCGCATCTCCTGAGAAACCTCAGTGATCACACCGTGGCCATCAGCAGCTCTACCACGTTAGACTGTCATGCTACTGGTATCCCTGAACCTCAGATAACCTGGTTTAAAAACAACCACAGAATACAGCAAGAACCCGGTAAGAGACTATCTTCCTTGAATTCCGTCTTTCTCATTGTTCTCTTCTTCCCTTAGCTCCTCTCTTTTCCTTTCTGTACATCTAGAACCATTTGGCGATAGAGCTCTGGGTCATACTTATGTTAATTTTTTTTAACGTTAATTTTATTTTTGAGAGAGAGAGGGCGTGAGTGGGGGAGGGCCAGCGAGAGGGAGACACAGAATCCCAAGCAGGCTCCAGGCTCTGAGCTGTCGGCACAGAGTGTGACACGGGGCTCGAACCCATGAACTGTGAGATCACGACCTGAGCCGAAGTGGGACCCTCAACCGACTGAGCCACCCAGGTGCCCCATCGCTTATATTAACTTCTAATGAGGACTATTAGAACCAGTTCTTTTTTGCACACCCTATTCCTAACCCTGTAGAAAGATCCATATGGAATCTGCTTTAAATGGTGCATTCATAAAGAAGTGGTAAGAGCCCCTTAGAAAACAGGTCAGTTCAACTTAACAACAAAGTGGGGAGTTCGTTCCTTGGCTTGAGGTATGACAGAGCTTTGAACACCTGGTGTATATGAAGTTCAGAGTAGTTTTATAAGCTTTTTATTTAAATTTTTATTTATTTTTGAGAGATAGAGACAGTGTGTGAGCTGGGGAGGGGCAGAGAGAGAGGGAGACACAGAATCTGAAGCAGGCTCCAGGCTCTGAGCTGTCAGCACAGAGCCCGATGCGGGGCTGGAACTCATGAACCGTGAGATCATGACCTGAGCCGAAGTCGACGCTCAACTGACTGAGCCACCCAGGCGCCCCATAAGCTTTTTAGTTCACCTATATCAATTTTAAAGATTTGGTAGCAAGAAGTCTATTTTAAACAATTGAAAACTGGTTATAAAATCTAAATGAATGGTCACATCTTAAGTTTCTTTCAATAAAAAATATATTTAAAAACAGACTTAAATTGGTAAGTATCAACAGTGTCTGTTGCCTGCCTCATAATTTTGTGGTTAAACAAGATGAACTTGTTTATAATCTTTAACTAATAATTCCATTTCAATGAAAAATCAAATTGCCATTTATTTACAATATCCCAGCAAACTAGATCAAATGACTAGCAGTGTGGAATGGTCCTTAAATGTGAGTCCTCTGCTCAGAACATAATCTCCATTGGAGTTTGATGTTCAGAAAGGGGTTGTGGTAGAACATCTCCAGTTTTAACGTATCTTAGAAAGGCCTTCCTCTAGGCCAGTCCCCAACTCACCCCGTCCCATCATTTTTCTCCATAAGCACGCTAGGTCATTCGCTTCATCATCCACACCAGTAGCTGATGACCGCCCCTTCGTCCTTCTCCAGTCTGTCAGCAGGCTGAGCAGGCTATGCCTATGAAAGATGACCTATTTCTCAAGTCCTTCCTTCCCTCTGCTTTCCTATTCTCATTTCCTGGGTCCAGAGAACATCTCCTATCTGATCTCTCCGCCTCTTTTTTCTCTCTTTGCATCTATTTTCGACATAGCTGGATAAGAGGCAGCTCTAACCACGTCCCTTCCCTGTTTCAAGTCTTCACTGGCTCCCTAGTTTAAGACCAAGGTCAGGCATCTGACAGAGGAAGGCCTCCACAACTGGCCCTCTCTACTTCTCCAACCCCATGCCCACCTTCCCCTGTTGAATCTTATATTCTAGCGATGTCCAGGCTCTTGTTGATCACTGGACTCATGCTGCTTCAACTCCCTCTGCTTCTATCATTCTTATGTCCCCGCTGCCTGGAGTACCTTCCTTTCATCTAATGCCTACCTGTCCTTTAAGACCCAGGTCAGGTGTGCTTCCTCCAGAAAGCCTTACTCAACTCCTGCAAAAATGGGGCAGGTCCTCCAGGAGTCTATTATTTATGAATGCTTCTCTTCTCTCTTACGGAGTTGTTCCATGATTGTCAGCCCATCTGTGGATTATCTGTATCGATTTCTGCTGCTCTCTTATTCTGCTGTATCATCAGTTCATGTGTAGGCCCTCTCACAACATGTTTATCATCATGTCCCATTCGTCCTGAGGGCTGACAGTGCACCTACGTCTTACTTGCATCTTCTGTCTCTTTTTATCTTCAGAACCTGGCATGGTGCTTGGCAATCGATAAACATTTCATGAGTGAATGAATGAATGAATATTTTTCAAAAAACTTTATTCTTTCCTTAGCAAGGTTCACCTGGTAGCACAAATGTCTGGACTTAGGGGTGGTTGGGGAGACTATATCATAGAATATTTAAAGCTAAAGGGCCCTTTGGAGTATCTTTATTCCCATTTGTAGAATAGAAAATTTAGACCCAATGAGGTAAAGTGAGTTTCCCAAAACGACACACTATTAAAAAAATTTTTTTAACATTTATATTTTTAAGAGACACAGAGAGACCGAGCACAAGTTGGGGAGGGGAAGAGAGAGAAAGAGAGGGAGACACAGAATCTGGAGCAGGCTCCAGGCTCTGAGCTAGCCATTAGCACAGAGCCCGACACAGGGCTCGAACTCACAAACCATGAGATCATGACCCAAGCTGAAGTCGGACGCTTAGCCGACTGAGCCACCCAGGCATCCCAATGACACACTATTAAGATAGATTGTTACACAGAAAACTAGTCCCTTGTGGCATTCTACCGAAACAGAAGGATGAATGTATACGTGAGTAAGTACACGTATTTATGTCAGGAAACAGTGCCAGGAATAGTCTCCCTTTAGAAATTCAGAGTTCACATTAGTGTATTAAAGACCCCAAGAAGTCCTATGCTAAAGAAACCAGGCCAACTGCCTTAAGGTATTCCCCCAACTAACTTGATCACCAAAAACAATTGTAGAAAATATCAACCTAAGCTGTTGGATGTGTCTTTGAAATACGTAAATTTGGCTGAAGTTCAGTTTTCATACTTTGGATGTGGGTTAAAGAATTAGGGTTGAACTGGGGCACCTGGGTGGCTCAGTTGGTTAAGCCCAGTATCCAACTCTTGATTTCAGCTCAGGTCATCATCTCATAGTTTGTGGGTTCGAGCCCCGCATCATGCTCTGCCCTGACAGTGTAGAGCCTGCTTGGGATTCTCTGTCTCCTCTCTCTGCCCCTCCGCTCTCTAAATAAATTAATTAATTAAAAAAAAAAAAGAATTAGAGCTGAACCAGTTTTGAAAGCTCATGAGCATTCTGGGACTGGAGGGCAGGCAAGGCAACAGAGTTTACAAAGGCAGTTACTACAAATGGAAAAAGATGATGACGTGTGAGGGAGGGATTGCACCCTAGCATTGCCATCGTGGGTTAGAGAATTGGGGCAACTCACTTCTCCTTCCTCTCTGAGCCTCTGTTTCCTTATTGATAAAATTGGGAGAATACTGACCACACAGGGATGTGGTAAGGTTTAAATCAATTAATATAACTAAGCTGGCCCATAGTTGTGGCTGAGCAAATGCTACCCTCTGACCTAGCTCAGTTATATAGGAATTGGCCAATGAGCTATCAGAATTTGTTAGAAGGTGTCAGAAGAGTTAATTAATAACTCAGCTCAAAAGTCAAACAATTCTAAATCCAATAAAGTTATCTTACCCCTTGCTTTCTTTGATCTTCAGAGGGCCAAGAGAGAAGAGTATCTAAAAGGAATCTTGTATAAATTCTTATATAAAATCTTTAAAAATATCATTGTAATAGGCTACTATTGGCATTTTTTTAGATCACATGTACTAAGTCTTCCATTTTCTCTCTTTATTCACTCCTTAAAACTACTATAGCCTGTTGGAAAGGAATCTCTTAATTTTCTGGAATCAGCTCTTCATGCATATCGCATTTATAAAGTTTCATAGATGAGATTTCCAATTTGAGGCAGCAAATTCAGCAGCCAATGCGGTAGACATCATGACTATGACCCTTGTGTTTGTGGATGCAGGCATCTTCAAAAATACCAATTCTTCTGTGGTTCTTTCTTTTCTTTTCTTTCTGTTTTTTTTATACAAACCTGTAGGTAAAGATTACAGGTAACTGAAATGTCTTGACTCACTGTTTATTCCAAAGCGAAACTGGAAAAAACATGAAGATCACGGCTCAGAGAAGACTGAAAACTAATTCACGTTATACTAAACCTTTGGAAAGCTATACTGAGAATAAATAATATTATTTAGAATTTATTTAATAACAAAATATATAATTATATAATTATATATATATATAAATATATATATTTACAAACATAAAGTACATAATTAAGGGGGATCTGTGTGGCTCAGTCGCTTAAGTATCCAACTTCAGCTCAGGTCCTGGTCTCACGGTTCGTGGTTTGAGCCCCATGTCAGGTTTTGTGCTGACAGCTTGGAGCCTGGAGCCTGCTTCGGATTCTGTATCTCCCTCTCTCTCTGCCTCTTCCCCTCCTTGCACTCTGTCTCTCTCTCAAAAACAAACATTAAAAAAGAAATGAAAATATACAATTAAATATATGTAATGCAATATATAACTACAGCATTTACAAATATAAAATATGTAATTAAAGGTTAATAGATAATGGTTTGAAATCAGTTAAGCTAATTATTTCACATTATTTCAAGCCCGACAGGGGGCTTGAACCCACGAACTGTGCAATGATGACCTGAGCCGAAGTCGGATGCTCAACCGAGCTCCCAGGCACCCCTATTTCACATTTAAAAGCCAGAAAATAAACTGCACATCCTTTAAAGACTTGCGACATGTGGCGACTCAAAAAAACATTTATGTACTGAGAGGGTTTCAGTGGCCTTGGGTCATTGATAGGATCTGGCCCATCTTCCTTGTCATTTGTTAAATGACAATGCACTCTCGTCCAAAGAAAATATGGGAGAGGAAGCAGGGCACACGTGAGAGCTCGTGCTCAGGACCAGTGGCCATAAAATGCCTGTTGAAAGCCCATAAGGGGAGAGCTTTCCTCCTCCCTCCTCGTTTCCTTTCAGGAAACCCTTCAGTGGGGCACGGCCATTCTAGAGAAGAAATGCAGTTTTAAGAAAGCCTGACAAAAGCTGAGTAGTACTTTCTTGGGCC